TCCACGGTGGTCTCAGCCGCCTCGTTCGTCCGTTGCGTTCGTCCTCCGGTTCGCGTTCGTTTCGCGGCGAACCGGCTCGCCTGGCACGGTTCTTTCTCGTCGCGAGGAAAGTGTGCTCTCGCCGAGGTGTGCGGCGATCGACGGCTGTCCGCCCGGCCGTCGCACGGGCCGACGATCTCTCTCCGCGCTCCGGGGAATCGCCGAGCGCAGCCTGCTCGCGCGCAAACCTGACCTGCCTTCTTCCGTGGCCGCTCGACGTCGCCCTTTCCTCGCCGACCGTCTCCCTCTCTCTCTCTCTTTCTCTCTCTATCTCTATCCGTCTCTCTCTCTCTCTTTTCCTCTCGCTCCGAGAGTTACCCACGGACAAACAAGGGGCTCGTTCAGCGGCGAGGAACTGGTCCAGGCTCGACTGGCCCGCTAGAGCAGCCTGCTGCCGAAACACAGTGACAATTCCGTTCGGGGTGGGCGGTGAAACGGTACGCCGTGATTGTGTGCCTCGAGTGACTCAAGATGACGGCCGAGAGCATCGACGTCCGCGGAAAGAGGAAACGCTGGCTGTGATTCCCCGGGTGTCTGGGACAGCACGCCGCGTCCTCGGACGTTGACACGCGCCGCACCGCTCCTGCCAGTCCTTACCTAGGCCGGTCGTTCAACGTGGCCGAAACTGGACATGTAAGTAGCATCCTTCTCTCGCTACCCCTCGCCGCTACCATCCCGCGGCCAAACCGCCCGTGTACGATTGATTGGACTTCGCCCCGGCGATCCCCGATCCCCCCGAACCGGGACGAACTCCATTGAAAACCTTCCAGCAACCGTCACACGTTCGTCCCCCGATCCGACTCGAACGAACCAACGGTTCTCATTAGGATTCGAACCACCCTCGCACGCATCCCGCCTCTAATTGAAAGCTAATGGCTCCCCCGACCGTTTCGATCGGTTTTTCGACGAACCTACAACCCCCGATACAAGAGCGACCCCCAGAAACCTCCTTGGCATGGTAAACATTCCTCCCTCCTCCCTGGGAGCTTCAATCCGCGGCGATCCACGTTTCCGTAGCGTCTCTACGAACCATTTCCCTCCCCTCCCGGGTAACGATCGTTCAACCCTCTCGCGCGATTCCCCGTGAAATTGAACGGAGGAATCGACTTTCCCCCGAAACCGAGTCCTGTCCGTCCGATATCCAAACCAGTGTGTGTCTGTGTGTGTCTCTGTGCGTGTCTCTGTGTGTAGCGAGTGTTTGCGAACGCGTGCGTAAGGCTGTGGTTACAGTGGATGCGTGTCCCGACGAATTCGATACGTTCCGGCGATCAAATATCCATCGCCGATCCCCGAGAGTGTGTACAAAGTGGATCTTCAGATGTTTATTCGTCGGGAAACGCGCCTCGCGTAGCCGCAGCCTAAAGCGGGGCTTCCCCGGGACCGTTTCCCCCGAATATCCTCGCTCGTCTTTCGATCCGGCGCGGAACTGGCGGCCGGGTACAGGCCCCGAGGGATCGGTTTTGTCGTTTGCCGGGCGAAAATCGGTGAAAAGCGGCGCCGTTCGAGGCCGAAGATCGATCTGTTTGCCGGGGGGAGGACGCGCGACACTGACAGAAACTCCAACACGCGAGTAAACACTCGACTCGCGGCGAGGCAGGGGGCGGCGTGCGGCGTGCGGCGTGCGGCGTGCGGCGGCGGCGGCGTATCGGCCACGGGAAAAGGAATTTCGACTTCCGTCGTCCTTGTCCCTCTTTCCACCGCTCCGCCCCGGGAAAGGGGATTTGTGTATCTCTTTAGGATAGAGAAAAAGTGGAAGGTCCGGGATGGGGTAGCAACCGGTTCGCTCTATCGTCCGGCAGGGGGTTGGTTCGCTTCGCCGTGGAAGAAAGCTTCGAAGTACTTTGGAACTTGACTTTGTTTCATCGAATTTTACGGTGACTTTGAAACCGAGTTGATTCTCCCTTGTTAATCTTCGGCTGGCATTCGAGAGCTGATACCAACGAACTCGAGAGTTTCGGGAAACAACGATGATGCGATTCGAGATCGGAGGAATCGTTGCAACTGTGATGAACTGGAAACGGTTTCCAGTTTAAAGCCAGCGTTGCTTCGCTGTTTAACGAATCTAATTATACGAACCGTGTTGCCACCGAATATTTTCGAATGTAATCGTGTCGTCTTCCGACGGAATTCTAGACGAATCCGATCTCCCCGATGCGCCGATTCGATAGTCTCAACTCGCGTCGGTCCTCGAGCGTCTCCGGAATGATCGCAGCAAAGTACCCAAGATTGCGCAACTGCGAGGGGCAAGGGGGAAGCGAGGAAAATCGGGCGATTCGAGCTAAGATATCGCGTGTCCTGCCGCCGAAGATACGGATCCTGTTTTCCGTCCGCCATCGCGATTGCCTTTGATCGCCGGAGACACGCGGACGCCTTTGACCGTCGCCGGGTCCTCCCGCAGGAGCTCCTCGTCCTCTCGGTCCCGCCCGGGGCATCCTTTCGGCCGTTCGAGCCGCGCGTCGATCTCTGCACGCGTGAAACCCGCGAGCCGACGCGACGAGACGCGACGAGGCAACGGCCCGTGAAATCGCGTCTCAAATTGAAAATCGGGGACGGCGCTGCCCCCGTGAACCCCTTCGGACTCGATCTTGGGAAACCGTGCTCGTTTAGACGACAACGACTGCCACTCGGTGCGCTAACGGTGATGTGGGAATGGATGCGGGGATGAACGGGGGACTGTTTCGAATAAATGTTTGATACTTTGAACGTCGACGTTTCGGTTAGACGAAGTTTTCATATTTGGAATACTGAGTTCCTAACGAATCAGTTACTTGAATAGCAAGTGACTGTATAGTTCCCTTTTTTTAGTTTTAACAGTAGAACTACCGATCACTTACTTATCAATTTCTCTGTGAAACCTATAAGCGTGCGTTTCGAATAGATGTTTGATCCTTTGAATGTTGACATTGTGGTTAGAAGTTTTCATATTTCGAATACTAAGTTCCAAACGAATCAGTTACTTGAATAGCAACTGAGTGTATAGTTCCCTTTTTTCAGTTTCAACTCTAGAACTACCGATCACTTAGACTTACCAATTTCTGTATGAGAACGAGACTTGAGCGTGAGACTTCAATAAAGGCTAAAACACTGTAGCTTCTTCTATAATACATATACAATGACAATGTGTATTTGTTCTTGCTTTGAGAATTTAAGGGTTGGAAAGTGTGGTGTTCACTGAACCGTGATGTTTAGTGTAAATTAGTTCCTTAGGAACTATTCTCTAGAGTTGCATTGACCGACGAAGGACGTGTTTCACTTAACTTTGTTGACTTATAAATCGCAGAATATTATTCGCTCGTGAGAACCATGGAGTCGAATCAAAAGAGTCGAATGGATTCATCATCTGTTGCTAGCACTGCAGCGAGGAATCCGTTGATACTTGGAAAGGATCGTGTAATAATATTGAATAATTAGCCATCCGTCGAGAACCGTTGGCCTGGGGCCACCAGATTATCGTCCGTTTCGGACGTCAAAGGATTCGAAAAAATGTCGTTAACGTCGCGATATTAGACTTTATAACGCGACCCTCGGCGCACTTTATTGTTACATACTCTGTAATTGTTTCAGCGTAAACGGTCGTGCGATTACGAGTTAGTTGCACGCGTCGCGAGGGTTTAACGCACGAACCGAAGCGATCGGTGTGTTAGAAACATAAATGGCAGCTTCATTGTCGCGTTCGGGGCCAGTAATTGTCAATAGATTCTCCTACAGAGTTTCATATTCTGTCGAACCACATTATTCCGAAGATTACGGTCAATTTCACCGATAATTGGTCAACTTAGTACCCCTTCAATAAGATCAACACTAACGATAGATAAAAACGATGTTATAGACGTTTATTCAAACGATGACAATTTATATATTTTTCTTCGTCAACACAAACTTCGTTTATTTTAATATCTTTTTTCCGCGTTTATTCAAAACAACTCATACACTCATACATATGCACGCACATCCATGAATTTTACATCAATATTAACCTACGCGTCTACAATGTTTGCCTTTTTCGAAGACATGTATCAAATACATAGAATTGCGTAACTTTAATATCCTCTATTGTATTGTTCGCAAAACGATAAATTCTAAGGATAGAACGATAATTCTAATGATAGTTCACCAAGATGCAGCTTCAACATTAGAACTACTAAACCTCCGACTAATTATTTTATAGAAAGAAACAGTAGATTTGTCAGAGTTTCAATTGGCATTTCAGTTCGCGTGTCGCATAATCTACTTTAACTCCAGAAGTTTTTCATTAGAAATACTCAACATTTTCTAATCGAATACCAACGACACTTTCAAACTGACTTACCGAGATCGCACATAAACGAAAGAAAGAGGCCGTTTCATTTTAATATTTCACATGTCGATGCGTTGTGCGAAGTTTAATATTAAATGTCAAACTCTATAATTCTGCTGTGTCGATTGGCGACTGAGAGGCTACGGAGTGCAAAGGGGTAATTGCGATAGAAACGAGGAATGTTGGAGTTTACATGGAGAAATTCGATGGGATCGATTTCACTGGTTGGCAGATTTAGTGTTAACATTAGGCTTGCGGGCCAGGTTACGTTAATAACGAACAAGAATGTTCAGCTACCTCAGGTTAATCTCTTCTCGGACGATCTCGTTCGAACATTCGCGAAACAAGAAATCGGGAACAGCTGATTCCGGTCGCATCGGTGCTCGTAGTTTCGCGAATCGAAGCTGCCTAGAGGTTCGACCGAGTAATGTTTATAAAATGTAATATCCGCCGAATTGACGGGTGCCGCGAATGCGCCGTTAATCGAGGTTCCACTGTATTTTTAATCGACGAGTCGCGCGACAAGCCGGACAACGGGTCGAATAATCTGCCGCGATTGTCCGGCGGCCATCGCGGCGCGGGCTCGCGTGTCTCGTCCATCCCCCATCTGCCCCCTCTCCGCGCGATTCAACTGCCAGCGGTCCGACCGGCTCGTAAATAGGGTCAAGATAGTATTTCATTCCCGTTTTCTATCGGGCCCGACCGTTTTTCAACCCCTTCAGACTTGAATTTCATTTAATCCAATTAAAAGTGTTTCGTTGTTGTTCGGCCGCGGGCCGGAATTTAAATTCGCGCCGCGGACGCTCGCAAAATGGCGTCAAGTATCGGCATTAACGGGCTTCTAATTTTTCATTCGAAATTTCCAGCAATTCGCGAAAGTTCTCGTCCGAGTTCACGGAAAAACTACGTTGGGATAAATTCTGTGATTCCTACCGGACAACACTGTAATTTTCTGGCTAAACATGGAGTAGTGCTTCGAAGTCCCGTATTGTAAACGTCATGGTTACCATCGTTCGAATCGCAGATTCTTCGTATTATCCTTTCTTCGGATTATAAATCTTTCGAATCCGAAACGCGTTAAACCGGAGATTCCGCGGATCCCGAATTCCTCGCGCGAAACGCCTGAAATCCGAAATTCTTCGGATCCCGAATTCGTCCGATCGTGAGTCTCTCAAATCCGAAATTCGTCAAACTCGGGATTCCGCGGATCCCGAATTCCTCGCGCGCGAAACGCTTGAAGTCCGAAATTCTTCGGGTCCCGAATCTTTCAAATTCCGAAGTTTCCAGCCCCGAAACTTGGCGTCGATACTCTCGGTATCGATACGACCGTCCGCGGAACCCGTGTAATTCCCCGCGCGAGTGTAAAAGTCGAGTTTCCGGTTGGGGACTCGTTCGGGAGGATCGCGCGAGCTGCTCGCAAGAAAGCTCGCGCCTACGATGAAAGGACAGCGCGCCGCGTGGCCACAATAGTGTCCCTTCCTGCCGGAAATCGTTGACTCGGGGGTGTATCGCGAAGAAGTTTCCGGGCCAGGGAAAACTTCGATCCGCGGAACGAGGAACGAATGCCAGGGAAATGATGGAAAATCCTGAAACGATGGCGGAGGCGTGACAGGATCCATTAGACCGGCGGTTCCCAACGTGCCGTACGATTTGCCGGTTCCGATTAACCCTTGGCAGTCCTATGTCGAGTCATAAATATTCGATAGCATCTAACGAGATACAGACGACATTTTCTTAGATTGAATTAACACGTTGCTTACCGGTAACGAGAAATCTCGTTTTTCTATAGACACTTAGCTATGCAACTTCGCTGATTACCACAGTATTGAATATAAAATTTCATTCGAATTGATTACCGATCTAAAATATATCGCACAACGATATATCTGCGTTTTTCTAGGTATAGTGATACAAGTCGACCTCAGTGGAAATTGCCATCCGCCCAATTCAGTTTTCTGAAAATTGGCCGGTACGACAATGCTAAATTTTGTTAAGATTTCTTAATTTGGAACTTATACGAAATATAGTAGCTTTAAGTCTTGCATAAATAGAACAAATAAAAGTACAATTGAAATATTTTAAATAGTACGTTAATTGTACTCTATTTACTATGACTTCTTTCTTGCGTCGAGTACTATAGAATATTTTCTAGAAGAATCACGAAACAACTCGCTTTTACGATTGTGGTCACACCTCCGTTCGAATTATGCAAGTCTTCCGAAGTAGTTTCCCCGTGCTGGCATGTATATGTTAACAAAATTATAGACCGGTATCGGCCGGGGAAGTTTCAGCCAGTTTCACGTCCCAGTGGCCCCGGATCGAAGTAATAAAACAGAGGCGGCGGACACTTGCCGATAAAACTCTGTCACAGTAATTAGCTACTGTAACACTCGTAATGATCCTAAACAAACAGCCTCCCAGCGCGTAAAGGTACAAGCACCGAACGGCAAATATTGAACTTCGATCGGGGCTAACCGTTACCTCGTTGCTCCGGCGAGCATCTTGAAATATAAAACCGCCCCGGCCCGACCGATTCGCTCCGACAATATCGGCTCGTCCGTAACCCGCCCGGACGAAATCAACGTTTCATCCGTGGACTCGCTGCTCCTCCTCCGATTTCAACGATAACGCTGCAACCTAAGTATCACTGTCGTTAAAATTACTAATACTTCATGACGCGTCAATTATCTTTCCAATATATTTTCAATCGAGCTACGAATAAACGTTGTAATAATAAATTAAGAGTAATTTGAGTTACAACGGTAACTTAAGAATAAATGCGAGAGGTGAGATTGAGTTCTGTGCTTGTTAATTTTGAAAGAGACAAAAGCGGCTATTAGTTATTGGCATTTGCATTCTAAAGAACTCGAAGGTATTTTCAACAAGCTACGAATAAACGTTGTAATAATAGATTAAGAGTAATTTAAGTTACAACGGTAACTTAAGAATAAATGCGAGAGGTGAGATCGAGTTCTGTGGTTGTTAATTTTCGAAGAGATAAAAGCGGTTACTAGTTATTGTCATTTGCGTCTTGAAGACTTGAAGGTCTTGAATTTGATTGAACAATTAACAGTAACAGTTGCTGCAGCAACAGTGAAGATACAATAATATGAATGTAATAGGTGGCAAAGATATTGGCAAACGAATTAACCCTTTGCACTCGGAAACATAGTAAATTGAGAAACAAAGCTATTTTATAAATATCTCGTATACATATTTCGTATAAAGATAGTGGAGTAATTATTAAGAATCTTGACTTTCCAATTTCTGGTTAACGAAGAAAACTGTTTCGATTACATGGCAGTTTCGACGAGTACATGGCAGTCAAAGTGTTAATCGACGAAGTTGCAGTAATTGAATTTGAGTGAGCCCCATGGCATTCAACGTGTTAACGACAAAGTAGTTGTACCGATCACAATCGAGAAAGAAACAGGACAAGGGGTTAACGTATCCGTCGCGTCTCCCACCGGTGAGCGTCGCTGAATTCCCCGTTTTCTCTATCGAATCTCAGTCGAGATATAAACGATAAAATCGAAAGTCTCGGAAAATACGAGCGACGACGAGCGTGTTAACCGGGTTACGAGTTCATCCCGGAAGAGCTGACCCTCTCGCGACGTGGATTGGCAGATGCTAGTTGATTCGCGGGTTTGATGTTGTTCGAGAGAGATTCTTGGTATGTCGTGCAGCGCACGGGATCGTGTGATTTAACACTTCAGCCGGTCTCGCGTCGGTTGTGTGTATCACCCGTCGTTCCTCCTCGTTTAATTGCACCGTGAGAGGGTCGGTCGGGTCTCGAGTTGTCGCGGGATGATTAAGGGGTGGCTCGCCGAGCGAATCTCCCAGTTCGTTATACTTTCGTTCGGAGAACGTTCCTCGGAGATGAATGGTTCGCGGCCGAGCCCGCCAGACGGGGAACAAGAAAGAATGTTTATTCAGAGAGAATCGGAGGATTCAATAATATACCGTATCAATTTTTATTGCTAACCCTTTCCACTCGAGGGGCGCCTTCCAGTCTCCATTTCGTCTGACGCAAGATCATTGTAAAATTGGTAATTCAATATTAAATTTTATATAATGTACGAACACGTGGAATATCAATATAAAATAGTCGCTTAACTTATGCAAGGTATTTCTTTATGTTAATTGCAAAAAATATCATTGACATTTCATCGGAAAATAATGAATATTTATTGAGAAAAATATTCTCGAGTGCAAAGGGTTAATCGAAGCAGAGGTTAAGACGTTCACTTAGCTAGATCAAATTCAACAGAAAAAAAGAGTGCTCTAAAGACAGCGTATCAGCCGCATAACTTTAACCGACCGAACAAAAATTTGTCCGACTTGTTAGTCTCACAATGCAGATTAATCGGTTAAGACGTTCACTTAGCTAGATCAGATTGGGCAGAAAAAGAAAGAGAGTGCTCTAAAGACAGCGTATCAGCTGCGTAACTTTGACCGAACGAACGAACGAACGGAGAGCATCGAATCGCTCAATTACCGGGTCCAGGTATAAACCGTGCAACGAGCCGCGTACGCGGCGGAAAGGAAATGGGGAAAATCGAGCAAGCCCGAGCGGAAGGCAATCATTCTCTCTCTCTCTCCTCTCTCTCCACTCCTCTCTCTCCTTTACTCGCGGCACCGGTCGAATCGATCGTTTTCCCCGTCGAATCCTACTACCCCTTGCGAATACTCTGTATGTGAAGCAATTCCAAGATGGAGAGCCGCTTCAAAAGAAACGTCGACCCGGCTGGCAGATGAGGGCGCGGATAGAGAAGAGCCGGGGAGAACTTGTTCGCCGGTTAACACCTCTGACGGGCCGCAGGATTATTATCGGACGATGTACAGAGTGTAACGAAACATATGGGTCCCCGATCGCGACGCGGAACGAGAAAAGTCCCTGCGAACGCGCCCTACTTAACCTTGTTTTAAGGTTGCAGCTATTATCGTGTTTCAATAATCCGCGACTGTTTACCTTTACACAAGCTGCTCGGAGCGGCTATTCCAGTCGAAGCTATCGGCGTTACACTTTAACGCGTTACATATACCGAAGTGCTCGGGATACTATGAAAGCCTGCGAATTATTCGATACAGAAATAGAAATCGGTAGCATGCGCTTGCGTTACACCCTGTACGTCGCGGACATCGTTCGGGATCATCTCCGCGCTGGTTCCTCGTCCTCGATACGCAGTTGGGAATTTATATATCGTCTGAGTGCGCCCGTCGTTGTTCCCAGTAATTTTAATTAACTTTTCCGCTTCTGGTAAGTGTCGCCGCGCGTACCCGCCGCTCCGTATTGCAATTATTTATCAAGTTTGCCTCCGCGATCCTCGGATTTCATTCGCGTTTGTTGCCACGCTTCAAACTGCACCCAGCGTGGACAAACAACCAGTATTTTGTCCGGCATTTACGGGGCCATTTTTGAGCGGACCCTTTCTCCTCGATTCCCAGAATTACTTGCTGCAGTCCTCGGTTTATCTGCAAACACGAAATATTAAATCAATACGAATGGCTACGTCAGTGACGGTTTTCATGCTCTTTAACGGCTACGTTAAATGTCACACCCTGGCAATCTAAAAAAAATTGAAACGCGATTGCATCGGGAAACGCTGGAAAAAAATATAGCGGCTCGAGGAACAAAAAGGCGATTGAGTTAAAAAAACTGAACGAACCTAGCAACAAAAATGGGAACGTGGCCGACTCGAAAAAGAGTGCGCGATTGCAACGTTGAAGAAACGGAAACGCGATTGAAACACTAAATACTGAGCCTCGTTCTCAAGCAGAACCGAAGAACACGGCGGATTACAAAGAGCGTCGCACAGCGCGACGAGGGGAGCGCACGCGTGCGCGCAATAATTTCAAGGGACGCTTGGCGAGGCGAGGCGAGCGTCGTTTGCATCTGGCTCCCGAAAAGGGGTTCAAAGGGAAATTCTGCGTGGATGTTTACCGATGTCGATAAATTCTTCGCATGGGGGGAGGCATCGAACGACGGAATTCCGCCACGTCTTCATTCGACCCATCTTTCTTACATGGCCGCAGGACGCCGCGGGGCAAACCGGATCGGAGAAAAGGTAACGGGCTGCACTCGGTGTCCCCTTCTTCGCCGGAAACGGAACCATCGATCGAAGTCACCGGTCACGGGCAAAGATTCCTCGTTAAAGCGGCCACGCCGGAAACGCTCGTGCTACAGCGGCCGATTCTTTGTCGTCCAGCCGTGCCGAGAGGACGCCGGTAACGATTTCATTAGATCGCTCGCCGCGCGGAATTCCTGTAACTGCTCCACGCGCTGCGATTCGATTTAGGGTTGGCTGGTTAATCCGTTGCGGACCAACGTCGAGATTTCGGCAGAGTGAGATCTTCATTTTGGAAAGACGCGAACAAGTGTTTTAGTTACGCGAGAGGACGCGTAGTTTTCTTCCTTTTATATTATTTTAGCAGTTGATGTGTGATTTAGCTGGGAACCATCATTGAGGACCACTCGATAAATGCTTTTAGAATGACGGGGTTGAATTGATAGAACTCATCAGAATCTTGGTGAGAGTAGAGCTGGCTGGGGAGATGTTCCATCTTGCGAAATCTGAAATTTGTAAATTCAAGTATTGCACGTTTATCTTGCCGAATGTCACCGCATTAGCATTATGTATAATATAAAAATGTTTGCAAATAATTATCGTTTGTATTGTGAATCTAAATGAAATATTATTCTTCCGTTATCAATTACATTTCACAGCAAAGGTAGGCATAGAATATACCTAGAACGTCTCTATCCAATGAATTACCACTGACAAAGTTGCATCGACCACAGCTCAGAAATAAATCACAAGCAAGGGGTTAATGAGAAATGGTAAAGCTCGTCGCGATACGTGAATATTGAGAGGTCCGTAGACGAGTTTACGGTAGCTCAAGTATCACCACTGTAAACGAAATTTTCCCTCGACCCAGTTCTTGCGCCCTCAGTCTCATTACGGCCGTTCGAATAGCTATCGCCGAGATGCGAACGTCTATAATAAAAAGCGGGCTACGTAACGAGCAACCGTCAAGATTAACAATATAGGGCGGCCAGGGTAGACCGAAGGGTGGCCGCGCGCGAGCCGAAGGAGGACGGTTCTCCTCGTGATTATCTGTAATAACGGATATTTACATCGTGCGGCGGCAACGACTCGTTCCGAGGTTTTTACGACTCCGGTGCTGGCGCGCCGGAGGAGCGGAAGCCGCGTTATCTGTTGGCTCGCAGCGGCGAGGCTCCGTGGACAATCGTGGCGATCGTTGGAAAAAGATCTGCTGCGCATAGTGTTCCAACTCGATTCAGAATTACCGGGCGAACATGTGTACACGTGTATCCCCTTGTTGCGCGTTCACCGCGGACATTAAAGCCGTGGCTTTAACTGACCCCAGCGGAGCTTCGGCGATAAATTTCCGCGGCGCTGCCGCCGCCTGCCTCGCCGATCCGCTCGCGAATGTTCCTCCATCTGCGGATCCCGCGTCGCCGGACAATCTGAAAGAGGGAACGGTTGGAATGTTTTCGAGTGATCTGCTGCAAGCAAATAATGGCTAGACACAAATCTCCGTGTTTGTTCGCGTACCATCGACTCCTTTCATTATGGTTATCCTAATCTCTTCTGCATACTCTGCGCTCCATACTGGAACCAGTTGAGTTGTCTTTTCTGTGGAAACCTCAAGACAATTATTGAGACTTCAGTTGGTTTGCAATTCAGATTGTCTATTGATAAACTAGTTTCTCTAGTACCTTTCCAGAGAAGCATGTTGTCTGTTGAATAACTGGAAAAATGAAATCAGGAATGGTCATTTTGATCCATCTGGTGCTAGTGTTAACCCTTTGTCTGAAGTGCTCTTGGTTTCTCAATTTGAGGTTCACGTCGACGTTCATTCGATAACAGCTTAATATGACGCTCTATTTATTATTCAAGAATATTTGAGAGTCATTGAAGTGTTACCTTTAAATGTTACAATTGTGATACAAATAAATATAGAAAAAATTGTTAAAACAGGTAGACATAGGACTGCTAAGGGTTAATCTGAATAGTGTCTAATAGGTGAAGTCTGTTTACAGAAGAAAGTAAATTAATTAGAAAATATATTAGAATTTTGCATGGATCTAGAGATAGTTACCATAGAAAGGGAATCTTGTAATGGTTCTGTCGTCTGGCGTTGGAACGAATCGAATCCAGAAGTACGTCCTAAAAGAAAAAGGGGAACGTCAGTATATATTCTTTCCCCTGCTGACAGAGTCGTTAGACTTTGACGACTACGGAATGTAAAGTACGGTGTAACGAATCTAACATTGAATTAATTACGGGGAACGGTTCTTCGCCCCTCGGCGGGTCGACCGTTTTTACCAGGCCGCGGCGGTGGTCCTCGTACTGGCCGGTAAAAAGTTTTAATTGAAAAGCACCGGTACGATGTTTAGAGACGAATCGATTACGAGTTCGTGAAAGCTTCTGCACTCGAAATAATTTCGTAATTAAACGAAGATTACTCTGATTGTCTTGGGACCGTTTCCTATCCAGCGGCAAGCGAATAAGACGGAGGCGGCCGCAATCCGATTACTCGTACCCGACGTCCTCTTCTTGTCGAACCTTTATCGCTAAATGTTACTCGTGTCGATCGGCTACTAGATTACTAGAATACTAGAATACCGGAGTATCGACTGCTAGTACGTTAGGGTGTCTGAAAAAGCTGACAAATTTTATGCATTAACACTAAAATTATCCAGCAGTTAAACTGACTTTTTACCCTTTCTTTGTAGAACCACACGTGTGTAGTTGTTAAGATTGCAATTGGCTTGTATATCAGTTTAGGTATTACTAAATCAGTTTTCTTAATGATTCCCCAAACAAGTATCTGTGCCCTTTCAATAATTACAAAGGAGAAAATTAGGAATGAGTCATTGTGACCGATTCCCAATTTCTGCTTTTCCAAACAATAAAATAACAAATTTTTCTTTGAGGAACCACTGAAGAAATAGTTTTCACTTTCAGCGTTATGGAAAAGTTAGAAAAAGGCAACTCGATGGCTCGGTACTTTTAGCGTTAAGTATATACCAGCTCGTGACTCTAGATACGCATTATCCATGCCTCATTAGTCTACGAAATATTCCGAAAAAGTAACATAAAGCGAAACGTGTTTTTATGACACGACGCGAGTCTTTCTATCCTCCCTGTACATCGAAGATGTCGAGCCTTTTCACACAAGCGTACCAACCGTTCCGAGTGCAAAGCGCTACTCACAGTGCTAATGCCGCGATGCGTGCACCCAACCGGGGAATACCCGCGTACACGTGTCCGGCTGCAAATCCTGAACCGTGGCACACGGTGTAGAAGCTTCTGGCCGACAGCTCCCCGAGCCGCGTCGAACCCGGCCCGGTACACAACGGATTCTCGTAGATACGTGACGGTCTATTACGGCTCGTATAATCGACCGATCGACCGGCCGGATTCCCAGAGCTGACACCCGATTCGTATCCGGCCATTTCGGCCGGATATGCGATTCAGACGTTCCGACCGTTTCCGATGTTCCCCGCACGAATTATTACTCTGACCCCCCGACGACGGGGACCCAACCGTGGAACTACGATCGAATTGTTGTCCGTTCGGCTTTAGAATCGCTGGTACGGTACCGTCTCGTCGGAATCGATCGGTACTACAGTTCGCGATGTTTTTAAATGCTCTGGATCAGTATAGATGGCGCTGACAGCCAACTTTCGCCCGCTCCACACTCTTTAGCCCAGTGTCATCCAACGTGACGATTTAATTTTTAAGGGATTCAATAATTTGAAATTTGAAATTTGAAATATCGCTTCGTATGTTTACACGTGTAAATAAAATAGCAGAGATATAAGAATATTATATATATGATTTCTAATATATTACAATATTCTTGCTGTTTTGTTCATATTATGTAATATTTAATATTACCATATTCGGTAGCATTGTTTATAACACAGAAACGTCAAATAATCATCTTTCAATTGAACTATAATCCGATTGGATTGGGTCATCAATGACCCACATGGCATCCAACGCGTCAACCAAGAACCGCGATCCCCTAATTCAAGATTACCGGTTTCGAAATTAGACGGATTTCATTTATTAAACCGTCTTCGTCTCTCAGCTTAATTATTCCTCGCGTTCCGGCAGACTCGTCCCCCCACAGGTTACACGGTGGCACTTATCGTCCGATCTCTAATTTCCAACATCTAACCGTCTCACGGCGGGCCACTTCGAGAACTTAGAAAATTCGAGCCGGGGACTAATCCCTCGAATCCGCGGCACTCGAGCGGGAGACGAGGAGACATCGAAGCCGGAGAGTTTCACCTAAGGGGTGCGCGAACGAGGAAAATAAGATGGT